TAAATTTTCGTTGCATATGCCTGTTTCGCAATATCTCCGGAATGGTTGGTGGTATGGTTGTGAAAATTGTTTCATATTATTGATGGCGATCACACATTTCAGAGTAAAGACAGGAGAAATTGAAATTTTCGTTGCATATGCCTGTTTCGCAATATCTGCGGAATGGTTGGTGGTATGTTTGTGAAAATTGATTCATATTGTTGGTGGCGATCTCACCTATCAGAGAACACATTGTCAATTTTGAAATTGTTGGTGTAAGTGCCTGTTTCGCAATATCTCCGGAATGGTTGGTGGTATGGTTGTGAAAATTGTTTCCTATTATTAGTGACGATCTCACCTATCAGAGAACACATTGAGAATTTTGAAATTGTTGGTGTAAGTGCCTGTTTCGCAATATCTCCGGAATGGTTGGTGGTATGGTTGTGAAAATTGTTTCATATTATTGATGGCGATCACACATTTCAGAGTAAAGACAGGAGAAATTGAAATTTTCGTTGCATGTGCCTGTTTCGAAATATCTCCGGAATGGTTGGTGGTATGGTTGTGAAAATTGTTTCATATTATTGATGGCGATCACACATTTCAGAGTAAAGACAGGAGAAATTTAAATTTTCGTTGCATATGCCTGTTTCGCAATATCTCCGGAATGGTTGGTGGTATGGTTGTGAAAATTGTTTCATATTATTGATGGCGATCACACATTTCATAGTAAAGACAGGAGAAATTGAAATTTTCGTTGCATGTGCCTGTTTCGAAATATCTCCGGAATGGTTGGTGGTATGTTTGTGAAAATTGATTCATATTGTTGGTGGCGATCTCACCTATCAGAGAAAACATTGTCAATTTTGAAATTGTTGGTGTAAGTGCCTGTTTCGCAATATCTCCGGAATGGTTGGTGGTATGGTTGTGAAAATTGTTTCCTATTATTAGTGACGATCTCACCTATCAGAGAAAACATTGTCAATTTTGAAATTGTTGGTGTAAGTGCCTGTTTCGCAATATCTCCGGAATGGTTGGTGGTATGGTTGTGAAAATTGTTTCATATTATTGATGGCGATCACACATTTCAGAGTAAAGACAGGAGAAATTGAAATTTTCGTTGCATGTGCCTGTTTCGCAATATCTCCGGAATGGTTGGTGGTATGTTTGTGAAAATTGTTTCATATTATTGGTGGCGATCTCACCTATCAGAGAAAACATTGTCAATTTTGAAATTGTTGGTGTAAGTGCCTGTTTCGCAATATCCCGGAATGGTTGGTGGTATGGTTGTGAAAATTGTTTCATATTATTGGTGGCGATCTCACCTATCAGAGAAAACATTGTCAATTTTGAAATTGTTGGTGTAAGTGCCTGTTTCGCAATATCTCCGGAATGGTTGGTGGTATGGTTGTGAAAATTGTTTCATATTATTGGTGGCGATCTCACCTATCAGAGAAAACATTGTCAATTTTGAAATTGTTGGTGTAAATGCCTGATTCGCAATATCTCCGGAATAGTTGGTGGTATGGTTGTGAAAATTGTTTCATATTATTGGTGGCGATCTCACCTATCAGAGAAAACATTGTCAATTTTGAAATTGTTGGTGTAAGTGCCTGTTTCGCAATATCTCCGGAATGGTTGGTGGTATGTTTGTGAAAATTGATTCATATTGTTGGTGGCGATCTCACCTATCAGAGAACACATTGTCAATTTTGAAATTGTTGGTGTAAGTGCCTGTTTCGCAATATCTCCGGAATGGTTGGTGGTATGGTTGTGAAAATTGTTTCCTATTATTAGTGACGATCTCACCTATCAGAGAAAACATTGTCAATTTTGAAATTGTTGGTGTAAGTGCCTGTTTCGCAATATCTCCGGAATGGTTGGTGGTATGGTTGTGAAAATTGTTTCATATTATTGATGGCGATCACACATTTCAGAGTAAAGACAGGAGAAATTGAAATTTTCGTTGCATGTGCCTGTTTCGAAATATCTCCGGAATGGTTGGTGGTATGTTTGTGAAAATTGTTTTATATTATTGGTGGCGATCTCACCTATCAGAGAAAACATTGTCAATTTTGAAATTGTTGGTGTAAGTGCCTGTTTCGCAATATCTCCGGAATGGTCGGTGGTATGGTTGTGAAAATTGTTTCATATTATTGGTGGCGATCTCACCTATCAGAGAAAACATTGTCAATTTTGAAATTGTTGGTGTAAGTGCCTGTTTCGCAATATCTCCGGAATAGTTGGTGGTATGGTTGTGAAAATTGTTTCATATTATTGGTGGCGATCTCACCTATCAGAGAAAACATTGTCAATTTTGAAATTGTTGGTGGAAGTGCCTGTTTCGCAATATCTCCGGAATGGTTGGTGGTATGGTTGTGAAAATTGTTTCATATTATTGATGGCGATCACACATTTCAGAGTAAAGACAGGAGAAATTGAAATTTTCGTTGCATGTGCCTGTTTCGAAATATCTCCGGAATGGTTGGTGGTATGGTTGTGAAAATTGTTTCATATTATTATTGGCGATCTCACATGTCAGAATAAAGACAGGAGAAATTGAAATTGTCGTTGAATGTGCCTGTTTCGCAATATCTCCGGAATGGTTGGTGGTATGGTTGTGAAAATTGTTTCATATTATTGGTGGCGATCTCACCTATCAGAGAAAACATTGTCAATTTTGAAATTGTTGGTGTAAGTGCCTGTTTCGCAATATCTCCGGAATGGTTGGTGGTATGGTTGTGAAAATTGTTTCATATTATTGGTGGCGATCTCACCTATCAGAGAACACATTGTCAATTTTGAAATTGTTGGTGTAAGTGCCTGTTTCGCAATATCTCCGGAATGGTTGGTGGTATGGTTGTGAAAATTGTTTCATATTATTGATGGCGATCTCACCTATCAGAGAAAACATTGTCAATTTTGAAATTGTTGGTGTAAGTGCCTGTTTCGAAATATCTCCGGAATGGTTGGTGGTATGGTTGTGAAAATTGTTTCATATTATTAGTGGCGATCTCACATGTCAGAATAAAGACAGGAGAAATTGAAATTGTCGTTGAATGTGCCTGTTTCGCAATATCTCCGGAATGGTTGGTGGTATGGTTGTGAAAATTGTTTCATATTATTGGTGGCGATCTCACCTATCAGAGAAAACATTGTCAATTTTGAAATTGTTGGTGTAAGTGCCTGTTTCGCAATATCTCCGGAATGGTTGGTGGTATGGTTGTGAAAATTGTTTCATATTATTGGTGGCGATCTCACCTATCAGAGAACACATTGTCAATTTTGAAATTGTTGGTGTAAGTGCCTGTTTTGCAATATCTCCGGAATGGTTGGTGGTATGGTTGTGAAAATTGTTTCATATTATTGGTGGCGATCTCACCTATCAGAGAAAACATTGTCAATTTTGAAATTGTTGGTGTAAGTGCCTGTTTCGCAATATCTCCGGAATGGTTGGTGGTATGGTTGTGAAAATTGTTTCATATTATTGATGGCGATCACACATTTCAGAGTAAAGACAGGAGAAATTGAAATTTTCGTTGCATGTGCCTGTTTCGAAATATCTCCGGAATGGTTGGTGGTATGGTTGTGAAAATTGTTTCATATTATTTGTGGCGATCTCACCTATCAGAGAAAACATTGTCAATTTTGAAATTGTTGGTGTAAGTGCCTGTTTCGCAATATCTCCGGAATGGTTGGTGGTATGGTTGTGAAAATTGTTTCATATTATTGGTGGCGATCTCACCTATCAGAGAAAACATTGTCAATTTTGAAATTGTTGGTGTAAGTGCCTGTTTCGCAATATCTCCGGAATGGTTGATGGTATGGTTGTGAAAATTGTTTCATATTATTGGTGGCGATCTCACCTAACAGAGAAAACATTGTCAATTTTGAAATTGTTGGTGTAAGTGCCTGTTTCGCAATATCTCCGGAATGGTTGGTGGTATGGTTGTGAAAATTGTTTCATTTTATTTGTGGCGATCTCACCTATCAGAGAAAACATTGTCAATTTTGAAATTGTTGGTGGAAGTGCCTGTTTCGCAATATCTCCGGAATGGTTGATGGTATGGTTGTGAAAATTGTTACCTATTATTAGTGACGATCACACCTATCAGAGAAAACATTGTCAATTTTGAAATTGTTGGTGTAAGTGCCTGTTTCGCAATATCTCCGGAATGGTTGATGGTATGGTTGTGAAAATTGTTTCATATTATTGGTGGCGATCTCACCTAACAGAGAAAACATTGTCAATTTTGAAATTGTTGGTGTAAGTGCCTGTTTCGCAATATCCCGGAATGGTTGGTGGTATGGTTGTGAAAATTGTTTCATATTATTGGTGGCGATCTCACCTATCAGAGAAAACATTGTCAATTTTGAAATTGTTGGTGTAAGTGCCTGTTTCGCAATATCTCCGGAATGGTTGGTGGTATGGTTGTGAAAATTGTTTCATATTATTGGTGGCGATCTCACCTATCAGAGAAAACATTGTCAATTTTGAAATTGTTGGTGTAAGTGCCTGTTTCGCAATATCTCCGGAATGGTTGGTGGTATGGTTGTGAAAATTGTTTCATATTATTGGTGGCGATCTCACCTAACAGAGAAAACATTGTCAATTTTGAAATTGTTGGTGTAAGTGCCTGTTTCGCAATATCTCCGGAATGGTTGGTGGTATGGTTGTGAAAATTGTTTCATTTTATTTGTGGCGATCTCACCTATCAGAGAAAACATTGTCAATTTTGAAATTGTTGGTGGAAGTGCCTGTTTCGCAATATCTCCGGAATGGTTGGTGGTATGGTTGTGAAAATTGTTTCAAATTATTGGTGGCGATCTCACCTATCAGAGAAAACATTGTCAATTTTGAAATTGTTGGTGTAAGTGCCTGTTTCGCAATATCTCCGGAATGGTTGGTGGTATGGTTGTGAAAATTGTTACCTATTATTAGTGACGATCACACCTATCAGAGAAAACATTGTCAATTTTGAAATTGTTGGTGTAAGTGCCTGTTTCGCAATATCTCCGGAATGGTTGGTGGTATGTTTGTGAAAATTGATTCATATTGTTGGTGGCGATCTCACCTATCTGCGAAAACATTGTCAATTTTGAAATTGTTGGTGGAAGTGCCTGTTTCGCAATATCTCCGGAATGGTTGGTGGTATGGTTGTGAAAATTGTTTCAAATTATTGGTGGCGATCTCACCTATCAGAGAAAACATTGTCAATTTTGAAATTGTTGGTGTAAGTGCCTGTTTCGCAATATCTCCGGAATGGTTGGTGGTATGGTTGTGAAAATTGTTTCATATTATTGATGGCGATCACACATTTCAGAGTAAAGAAAGCAAAATTTTAAACTGTCGTTGAATGTGCCTGTTTCGCAATATCTCCGGATTGGTTGGTCGTATGGTTGTGAAAATTGTTTCCTGTTTTTAGTGACGATCACACCTATCAGAGAAAACATTGTCAATTTTGAAATTGTTGGTGTAAGTGCCTGTTTCGCAATATCTCCGGAATGGTTGGTGGTATGGTTGTGAAAATTGTTTCATATTATTAGTGGCGATCTCACCTATCAGAGAAAACATTGTCAATTTTGAAATTGTTGGTGTAAGTGCCTGTTTCGCAATATCTCCGGAATGGTTGGTGGTATGGTTGTGAAAATTGTTTCATATTATTGATGGCCATCACACATTTCAGAGTAAAGACAGGAGAAATTGAAATTTTCGTTGCATGTGCCTGTTTCGAAATATCTCCGGAATGGTTGGTAGTATGGTTGTGAAAATTGATTCATATTATTGGTGGCGATCTCACCTATCAGAGAAAACATTGTCAATTTTGAAATTGTTGGTGTAAGTGCCTGTTTCGCAATATCTCCGGAATGGTTGATGGTATGGTTGTGAAAATTGTTTCATATTATTGGTGGCGATCTCACCTATCAGAGAAAACATTGTCAATTTTGAAATTGTTGGTGTAAGTGCCTGTTTCGCAATATCTCCGGAATGGTTGGTGGTATGGTTGTGAAAATTGTTTCATATTATTAGTGGCGATCTCACCTGTCAGAGTAAAGAAAGGAAAATTTGAAATTTTCGTTGCATGTGCCCGTTTCGCAATATATCCGGGATGGTTGTGAAAATTGTTTCCTATTATTAGTGACGATCTCACCTATCAGAGAAAACATTGTCAATTTTGAAATTGTTGGTGTAAGTGCCTGTTTCGCAATATATCCGGAATGGTTGGTGGTATGGTTGTGAAAATTGTTTCATATTATTAGTGGCGATCTCACCTGTCAGAGTAAAGAAAGCAAAATTTTAAATTGTCGTTGAATGTGCCTGTTTCGCAATATCTCCGGATTGGTTGGTCGGATGGTTGTGAATATTGTTTCATATTATTGGTGGCGATCTCACCTATCAGAGAAAACATTGTCAATTTTGAAATTGTTGGTGTAAGTGCCTGTTTCGCAATATCTCCGGAATGGTTGGTGGTATGGTTGTGAAAATTGTTTCATATTATTGATGGCCATCACACATTTCAGAGTAAAGACAGGAGAAATTGAAATTTTCGTTGCATGTGCCTGTTTCGCAATATCTCCGGAATGGTTGGTGGTATGGTTGTGAAAATTGTTTCATATTATTGATGGCGATCACACATTTCAGAGTAAAGAAAGCAAAATTTTAAACTGTCGTTGAATGTGCCTGTTTCGCAATATCTCCGGATTGGTTGGTCGTATGGTTGTGAAAATTGTTTCCTGTTTTTAGTGACGATCACACCTATCAGAGAAAACATTGTCAATTTTGAAATTGTTGGTGTAAGTGCCTGTTTCGCAATATCTCCGGAATGGTTGGTGGTATGGTTGTGAAAATTGTTTCATATTATTAGTGGCGATCTCACCTATCAGAGAAAACATTGTCAATTTTGAAATTGTTGGTGTAAGTGCCTGTTTCGCAATATCTCCGGAATGGTTGATGGTATGGTTGTGAAAATTGTTTCATATTATTGGTGGCGATCTCACCTATCAGAGAAAACATTGTCAATTTTGAAATTGTTGGTGTAAGTGCCTGTTTCGCAATATCTCCGGAATGGTTGGTGGTATGGTTGTGAAAATTGTTTCATATTATTAGTGGCGATCTCACCTGTCAGAGTAAAGAAAGCAAAATTTTAAATTGTCGTTGAATGTGCCTGTTTCGCAATATCTCCGGATTGGTTGGTCGTATGGTTGTGAAAATTGTTTCCTGTTTTTAGTGACGATCACACCTATCAGAGAAAACATTGTCAATTTTGAAATTGTTGGTGTAAGTGCCTGTTTCGCAATATCTCCGGAATGGTTGAGGGTATGGTTGTGAAAATTGTTTCATATTATTAGTGGCGATCTCACCTATCAGAGAAAACATTGTCAATTTTGAAATTGTTGGTGTAAGTGCCTGTTTCGCAATATCTCCGGAATGGTTGGTGGTATGGTTGTGAAAATTGTTTCATATTATTAGTGGCGATCTCACCTGTCAGAGTAAAGAAAGGAAAATTTGAAATTTTCGTTGCATGTGCCCGTTTCGCAATATCTCCGGGATGGTTGTGAAAATTGTTTCCTATTATTAGTGACGATCTCACCTATCAGAGAAAACATTGTCAATTTTGAAATTGTTGGTGTAAGTGCCTGTTTCGCAATATCTCCGGAATGGTTGGTGGTATGGTTGTGAAAATTGTTTCATATTATTGGTGGCGATCTCACCTATCAGAGAAAACATTGTCAATTTTGAAATTGTTGGTGTAAGTGCCTGTTTCGCAATATCTGCGGAATGGTTGGTGGTATGGTTGTGAAAATTGTTTCATATTATTGGTGGCGATCTCACCTATCTGAGAACACATTGTCAATTTTGAAATTGTTGGTGTAAGTGCCTGTTTCGCAATATCTCCGGAATGGTTGATGGTATGGTTGTGAAAATTGTTTCATATTATTGGTGGCGATCTCACCTATCAGAGAAAACATTGTCAATTTTGAAATTGTTGGTGTAAGTGCCTGTTTCGCAATATCTCCGGAATGGTTGGTGGTATGGTTGTGAAAATTGTTTCATATTATTGGTGGCGATCTCACCTGTCAGAGTAAAGAAAGGAAAATTTGAAATTTTCGTTGCATGTGCCCGTTTCGCAATATATCCGGGATGGTTGTGAAAATTGTTTCCTATTATTAGTGACGATCTCACCTATCTGAGAAAACATTGTCAATTTTGAAATTGTTGGTGTAAGTGCCTGTTTCGCAATATATCCGGAATGGTTGGTGGTATGGTTGTGAAAATTGTTTCATATTATTAGTGGCGATCTCACCTTTCAGAGTAAAGAAAGCAAAATTTTAAATTGTCGTTGAATGTGCCTGTTTCGCAATATCTCCGGATTGGTTGGTCGTATGGTTGTGAAAATTGTTTCCTGTTTTTAGTGACGATCACACCTATCAGAGAAAACATTGTCAATTTTGAAATTGTTGGTGTAAGTGCCTGTTTCGCAATATCTCCGGAATGGTTGATGGTATGGTTGTGAAAATTGTTTCATATTATTGGTGGCGATCTCACCTATCAGAGAAAACATTGTCAATTTTGAAATTGTTGGTGTAAGTGCCTGTTTCGCAATATCTCCGGAATGGTTGGTGGTATGGTTGTGAAAATTGTTTCATATTATTGGTGGCGATCTCACCCATCAGAGAAAACATTGTCAATTTTGAAATTGTTGGTGTAAGTGCCTGTTTCGCAATATCTCCGGAATGGTTGGTGGTATGGTTGTGAAAATTGTTTCATATTATTAGTGGCGATCTCACCTGTCAGAGTAAAGAAAGGAAAATTTGAAATTTTCGTTGCATGTGCCCGTTTCGCAATATATCCGGGATGGTTGTGAAAATTGTTTCCTATTATTAGTGACGATCTCACCTATCAGAGAAAACATTGTCAATTTTGAAATTGTTGGTGTAAGTGCCTGTTTCGCAATATATCCGGAATGGTTGGTGGTATGGTTGTGAAAATTGTTTCATATTATTAGTGGCGATCTCACCTTTCAGAGTAAAGAAAGCAAAATTTTAAATTGTCGTTGAATGTGCCTGTTTCGCAATATCTCCGGATTGGTTGGTCGTATGGTTGTGAAAATTGTTTCCTGTTTTTAGTGACGATCACACCTATCAGAGAAAACATTGTCAATTTTGAAATTGTTGGTGTAAGTGCCTGTTTCGCAATATCTCCGGAATGGTTGATGGTATGGTTGTGAAAATTGTTTCATATTATTAGTGGCGATCTCACCTATCAGAGAAAACATTGTCAATTTTGAAATTGTTGGTGTAAGTGCCTGTTTCGCAATATATCCGGAATGGTTGGTGGTATGTTTGTGAAAATTGTTTTATATTATTAGTGGCGATCTCACCTTTCAGAGTAAAGAAAGCAAAATTTTAAATTGTCGTTGAATGTGCCTGTTTCGCAATATCTCCGGATTGGTTGGTCGTATGGTTGTGAAAATTGTTTCCTGTTTTTAGTGACGATCACACCTATCAGAGAAAACATTGTCAATTTTGAAATTGTTGGTGTAAGTGCCTGTTTCGCAATATCTCCGGAATGGTTGATGGTATGGTTGTGAAAATTGTTTCATATTATTGGTGGCGATCTCACCTATCAGAGAAAACATTGTCAATTTTGAAATTGTTGGTGTAAGTGCCTGTTTCGCAATATCTCCGGAATGGTTGGTGGTATGGTTGTGAAAATTGTTTCATATTATTGATGGCGATCTCACCTATCAGAGAAAACATTGTCAATTTTGAAATTGTTGGTGTAAGTGCCTGTTTCGCAATATCTCCGGAATGGTTGGTGGTATGGTTGTGAAAATTGTTTCATATTATTAGTGGCGATCTCACCTGTCAGAGTAAAGAAAGCAAAATTTTAAATTTTAGTTGCATGTGCCCGTTTCGCAATATATCCGGGATGGTTGTGAAAATTGTTTCCTATTATTAGTGACGATCTCACCTATCAGAGAAAACATTGTCAATTTTGAAATTGTTGGTGTAAGTGCCTGTTTCGCAATATCTCCGGAATGGTTGATGGTATGGTTGTGAAAATTGTTTCATATTATTGGTGGCGATCTCACCTATCAGAGAAAACATTGTCAATTTTGAAATTGTTGGTGTAAGTGCCTGTTTCGCAATATATCCGGAATGGTTGGTGGTATGTTTGTGAAAATTGTTTCATATTATTAGTGGCGATCTCACCTTTCAGAGTAAAGAAAGCAAAATTTAAATTGTCGTTGAATGTGCCTGTTTCGCA